GTACCTCACAGGACTCATTCCAGAACAATACTTAAAAAAAAAAAAAAAAAAACACTGCCATGGAATTGATTCTGACTCATAACCACCCTATGTTGTTGTTCTTAGGTGCCATCATGTTGTCTCTGACTCATACCAATCCTATTCACAACAAAACCTGTGCCATCCTCACAATTATTGTTGTGTTTGAGCCTAGTATTGAAAATGTTGTGTTAGGAAGATCTACTTCTGAGAGATTAGCCACTGAGAACCTTATGAATAGCAGCTACCCTATAGGCCAGAGCATAGCATGCTCCTTAGGGTTTCTGAGACTATAAATATTATGGAAACAGACAGCCTCATCTTTCTCTGTGGAGTATGGCTTGGCTGATGCATGTGAACCATGGATCACGTGATTAGCAGCCCAATGCTTAACCTACTGCATCACCAGGGCCCCTTTGTGGAGAACAAACCAAAAATCAAAACCCACTACCATGGAGTGTGTTCATTATCCTACAGTTTGGCTGGTGGATTTGAAATGCCTGCCAGACACTTAGCAGTCCAACACCACCTCACTCACAGCATCACAAATTTCCAAAATGCCCCCTAGAGGGCAGTACTGCCACACTGGGAAAGGCTGGACTGTGTAACTACTCTCAGTTCAGGTGGATAATGTTATAGTGAGAATTACCGTCAGTTTTATAAAGGTGCCAAGTATAGAGGTGTGAGCATGGGGAAGGGTATAATTTCTTTCATTGTTAAGTAAGCCATATAAAACAGGTGTTGTTGTTAAGTGCCTTTGAGTCGATTCTGACCCATAGCGGCCCATAGAAGCGGCTGGTGGATTTGGGTCGCCAACCTTGTGGTTGGCAGACCAGTACTTATCCTATAGTTATTTCTCTTTTAGAAATTAGGAAATTGAGGTTTTGGAGGTTGCCTTTCCTAAGATCACAATGCTAGCATTTATCAAAGTAGAGCTACAATCCAAGTCTGACCTCAGAGCCCACCAAGAAGCCTGTCACGCTTTAGTTTTTATCTGATGACACAAGGATAATTATTTCACTCTGTTAAATGTGGCAATGTTAAAGGAACCCTGGTGGCACTGTAGGATAAGCCCTGGGCTGCTGACTGCAAGGTCGGCAGTTCAAATAAACCAGCAGCTCCACAGGGAGAAAGACGAGACTTTCTGCTTCCTGTAAAAACTTACAGCCTTGGAAACCCGAAGTAGGGTTGCTGTGAGCCAGAATCTATTCAGTATCAGTGGGTTGGGTTTGGGGTTTGGAAATTTTAAGGAACCCTGGTGGCGCTGTAGGATAAACTTTGGATTGCTGAACTGCAAGGTCAGCAGTTCAAACTCATTAACCACTCCAAGGAGAAAGATGAAGGTTTCTGCTCCCATAAAGGTTTGGTGTTATTGTTGTCAGTAAGTGCCTTTGAGTTGGTTCCAACTCATAGAGATCCTGTGTAGTGTTTCCCAGGGTGGCAGGTGAGCTTGAACTGTCAACCTTGAACTGTCAAACCGCCATTGCAGTCCAGCGGATTAACCCACAACAACGCATCAGAATTTATACCAGGATTACAGCCTGGGAAATCCTATGTTGTTGTTGCTAAGTGCTGTTGAGTTGGTTTGGACTCATAGCAACCCAGTACAGGGTTTCTGAGGAACAACTGGTGAGCTTGAACCTACTACCTTACAGTTCACACTGACCTTGCTGTCCAGCACATTAACCCACAGTGCCATCTCAGGGTCGCAATGAGTTGGAATCACTCAATGGTAGTGGATGGGTGGCAATTTTAGAGTGGGAGTCTTAGGAAAATGAGTTATTTTCAATTATAGTCATCAGTTTTCTTTGCTGGTCTTTATGAAGTATGTGATAAAAATTTCCTTACTCTAATTCCAGGAACCTCTCTGCATTGGAGACTATGGATAAATATGATGTGATTAAGGCAATTGGGGAAGGTGCCTTCGGGAAAGCATACTTGGCTAAAGGAAAATCAGATAACAAATACTGTGTCATAAAGGAGATCAATGTTGCAAAGGTAAAGTTAAGAAGTTTAGATTCTTGTCAGTTTGTATTATTGCAGTCAGTAAGTTATACACCTCTTAAGAAGTTGAATTGGCAAAAATTGTGTTAAGATATATTTACAACAACAAAAAGAAAATGATATTTGGTTTGAAGGGTTGGGGGTCAGGGTTTCATGGTTTTCTGGGATATCCCAGTTAACTGGCCTGATAACATCCTAAATGCTTCTGTTTTACCTCTTAGTTCAATGTGTAGTGCCTGGGATCTTAAAAAGTTCACCAGAGGCCATTCAAAGGATAAGAGTTGGTTTCTATTCACCTGGAGCAACAGAGGAAGGAGTGCCCTGAATAGGAAAAGGAGAAGGAATGTGTGACTAGTTTCCTCCTTGAACAACTGTCTCCTTTGCTATGAGATCAGAACTGGATGATGCCTGGCTACTGTTACTGAGCATTTTGATCAAAGCTTCCACAGGAGAATCCTAATCAGATGGGGGAAAATGCAGAACATAATTTCAAATTCTCATGGGCTCCAGACTTCCTGGAGCCATGAAGTTTGGCTAAACCCCTGAAACTATTTCTGTGAGATACTCTTTAGAATTTAAACCAAAAATTTCACCGGAAGTCATCTTAAACCAAACAGCCGTGTAGCTTAACTAGCAAAAAAGTTCTGCCTTGAGATTTTAATCTTTTAAGAACGATTTACATGGGATCAAATTGACAACAGCAACTAAAAAGATTCGATACTAACCGTAAAGGCAGTGAGTTAATGAGGGAGAAACAGCTGAGAAAAGGATTGTGAGAGTGGTCTCACAGCTTGAAGAATGTCATCCGTGTTACATCATATTTTTCACAAATCAACAAAGCAAAAGTATTTGATGAACCCATACAAAACAAAAAACATATATTCATTTAAGTGTCCAAAGGGCATATTTTGCAAGCCAGCCTCCTACCCACAGGCAACAGCCTTTCTCAGTACACGGGCCTAGAGTCCGCAGCTGCTCTATCTCTCCATGCCATCGCCTCTGCCACCATCTCTGCTGATGCCACTTTTCTAGGTAGAATCTCACTCTCCACTCATGCTCTTCCTTCATGATCGTCTTGGGATCCTCTGTTCCAGAAATGAAAGATTACTTCACTATTTTAGGTACACATCTACAATTACAGTTGTGACAATCAAAATTTATCCTACAAACAATTTCTCACAATTGAATCATAAAATCCTATTACCATCATCCTCCAGCATGTTTCACCAGATCCGTCTGGAAAAGAGGAAAATTATTCATCAGGGATTTTACAATACCCTCCTAGATCTGAAACTAAACACACTCATGAAAGCTTGTATGTCAGCCAATTTGTGCTTTTGTAGCACCCCATTTTTGATAGCCAATGTCTAAATTGCCCATGGTACTGTGGAATAAAGCACTGTACTACAAGGTCAGTTTGAACCGTTTGTTGTTGTTGTTATATGCCATTGAGTCGGAACCTATTCATAGTGACCCCATGCACAGCAAAACAAAACAATGTCCGATCCTGGGCCAACCTCACTACCGCTGCCACACTTGACGCCATCAATGATGCCACCTGGCCGATCCATCTCATTATGT